TTTCATTTATTTTTTAAATATTTTATCGTATAAAAAATATATTGTATCGCATTATAATTTATCACATGACTATGATCTGCAAACTCTCTATAACGGCCTTTTTTGCCAAATAAGGCAGGCCGTTATAGAGAGAGTGAACTGTATATAGTAGCTTCGTAATTAAGTGAATTTATCTTAATATCTATCATCCAATAAAATTGAACAATTAAATTACAAAAATTAAGAAATGATCTACAGAAAATTAGCCAATCATACGCGTACACATTAATTATTTATGTATGGAACTCCTATTGCTATTGTTTTTTTTGTTGACACGAATTGATTGATTTTTTTTTCATGGAAAAACAATTTATTTTTCAAAGATGAGTCACCTGTTAATGACAGAGGTACTTTTTTTTATTCACCTTGATATAATAATAATATGGCGTCCTTTTAGTTTATAAATATTTTAAATGGAATCAAAATGTGGAGTAGGACTTGCCGGGCAAATTATAAGATTCTTGATGATGATAAATGAATGATTTTTGTGTAATCAGTATCAATGTCAATATAAATATATATATAATTACAAGATGTCAAGGCAGCATGACTGACTGTTGCAGAAGAAACATTTCAATATGCAATGTTTGATTATCAGGAAATTAGCAGATGTTGAAACATGCATGCTATCTTGAACAATTCACAGTCATTCTTACACATTCCTTGCGTACAAAGGCTAATTTGACTATGTTGTGGCTCTAGTAATACAATGATGTTAAATTTCAGGGGGGGAGTAGCCATGGGATAGAAACTGCATCAATTGTCTGACACTTTCACTAATCTTTCTCACTGTACTCAGACCAGAGGAGGCTGCTAGCATGCTGGCTGAAAGTTGCCTGCAACGATTCTACTTCTAAGGTAAGGATGGCTCAGTGACCAGCTTTCATTTTGAAGAGTTGTGATATTAGGTGTGCATAAACATCCAGATTCATCAAAGCAACAAGAATCTGCAACTTATTTTCAAGAACAGGAGGTCACATTTCAGAACAGAGTTGATGGTTCTGAATTGGAATTAGGCTCTGATGTTAAGAGAAAGGCTGCTTCTTTAATACTAACCAATTTATATTTTAGGTAAGGGCTTAATGGGCTTTTGCCCAATTAGTTACCTGTTCTGTAGATTAAAATAGACAGCAACCCAGGTTGCAGACACAAACTTTATTTTAGTGAGAGGGCTATAACACAAAGCAAGCATCATGCAAACATTAGCTATCAGGTGACCAAAGCCATATGGTAACAACCAAGCCTCGTCTGAGGAGGAAGATAAGGGAAGTTTTGTCCAAAGCCTACTAACATTGGGTATCCTCAGCTGTGAAAGAAAAATCCCATGGTTATGGGGTGTGCTAATTAATAGCACCCAACCCACATGTTTGTGACAGGAAAATTTAATTAAATCTGACACCTGCAATTAACATCAGATTTATTATTCATAAAAAACTACAATTGATGATAATCACGAAAAATAATTTATTTTGTGAACATAATCTGGGTAGATACACATTATTAAAAGTTGTATTTATGCATGGCCTTGATATTATCATTACTTGGTTATGCAATTGTTTGTTATGCCAATTATAACATCAAATGTATTATGAATATTTGATGGATGGAGGCATTCATATACAAGGAAATGATTAAATAGCTAAGTCATGTTTTATTAAAGATATACAATTAATTATATACAATTAAAAGCTGTTATGTTTGTGCATGATTTAAAATTCTTTTGTGCTAATTCAGGGTCCCATCTTTCTTTGCTTATATATAATCTATTGTTTCTCTTTTTACTGGTTGAAGATGCCAAATTAGTAATGGGGTATCAGTAAATATCAGAATCTAATAATTCTTTAAAAAAATAATCAAGGTATTGGCATACTGATAAGTTAATAATATTCCTAGTATTTTTTATCATATAGTCTAATAGCCTATTTAAAGCACCAATATTTATCAGGTATTCTTTTAAATTAATTCTGTTTTTTAGTTAATTATCAACTTAATTTAATAAACCAATAGCTCTTTTATATTGTAATTAAGTTATTGGTTAAATATTTCTAAAGCTTTTTGTACTAAAATAATATCATAATCTTTAGTAGTTGTCAGGAAAAATAATTCAAAAAAACGAACAAAATGAACAATATACAGGGGACTAGGTGATTGGACCTTTAGCATGTATGGACAACGTCGCAATTTCCTTAACTTCATAATCATATCATCATTTAATAATAGATAACAAATTGTCCTTGTCCTTGTTGTTATTGTATCGAATTTTATATTTTTGTATTTGTAATGATAATAAACCTATCTCTAAACAATGAATTCATACTAATCCCGTGTATAATTATTTTCTCTTATTTTATATTTGTTAATATATTTTTTTTTTTTTTCTTTTCTTTTATTTTATAAGCAGTGTTAGACAGAAACCTAAGTAGGACCAGAAGTCGATTGTGAAAGCTAGCTAGAAAGGAATTGATTATGAAATATCCATTTTGGTAATGTTAGGGAATAACAAGCTAAGTGGGCACCCTCCAAGAAAAGCAATCGGGATAAAGAGGTTATACATTTCTGACTCGAACAGAAGGAAGGGAAATGTGATCAGGGAGGAAATAGGTAATTATATATGTGCAAAGGTTTTTTTATTAGAAAAGGATTCAACTAATGCTAAAAATAAATCAACCACACAACCCTGCCATATAATCTAAAATAACAACCCATTTGTGCAGAATTTGAATCATTATATATTATTTTGTAAATGACTCACATTTTTATCAATAACTGAGCTATGAATCCGCCATTTTCTCCTCTTTCACATAATCTTTGAGAACATATCTACAATTGTTCCAAAGCCACCATAAAGCATCTTCAGATGTTTGTCTATTAAATCCATCCTTTGCCGTCAAGTTCATTTTTGCATAGACCTTCAATTATCTGATCCTTGAAGCTCAACAGAGGCTGTTGGAATCAAATGTCCAACAGACCAAATATTAACACCCTCATTGTGATGGGATTTGAAAATCTCGGGTACATGACTTCCTGTAGCTAATCGTTTGTTTGAAGGAGCATGGCACGCATCATCGAAATCGACGGTGAACCAAATTTCTCGATCTATGAACTTTAACATGCTATCCTAACAGAGATCGCGATACATGATTTTCATTTGGTGGAGAGCCTGAAAATGAATATTCGTTTATAAAATTATCTTAGGTTTTCAAAGATAGCAAACAATGGATGAAATGAAAGATAATAGATACCTTAAGGGCGGTCAAAACACAATACAATGCTTTGATTAGTTGTTCCTTTGATCGTGGCTTATATGCTATACCCTTTGGTGAAAAAATCACGAATGGAGTTGATCCTTCCTCCGTATTGACGTAGTTGAAGTAATCAATGAAAGGAACTTGATTCTTGGCCATTTAATCATAAAGGGTCTTAAAGTCCATGACAGAATTCACTAAAGAATAACATTTTACAACTATATTTTGTATAATTCAATCACTTTACCACTTGTTCAATGAAGCTGAACAAATTCCTGCTAAAAATACTCTGGCGAAGTAAGTATAATAATTGGCCAATGTTTCTTCCAATATTGAAGGCTTGTATGCATCCCTCCACTTTATCCAGTGAACAAGTCAACAAGTTCCTCCGCCCAGTATTGTCTCCTTCGAGATACGTCACCATGGCGGCAATTGCATAGTACTCAAAGATGTAGGGACAATTTCCATACGTCCATGTAAATTTCGAGGCTAGTTCTACTGCTGGATCATCATTATTTTTAGGTCCCTTTTCCTCCCTCTCACAAGACAAGCATCCAATACCAAATACGAAAGATCATTGTCTTGTGTAAGTGTGACGAGACGTGTTTCTGTTGTGTGATCCGTCTGGACATCCAATTTAAAAGGTTTGACAATAAGTGCGTCCCAAAACCCATGGAATGAATCTTCGGCGGTACTGGTCTCAGGAGGACAGGTAATTTGTACAATATATTTGTACCACAATCGACTGGATGCTTTATCTGAACTCGCAAAAAATTGATCGAGGAAGTTTCGATCTCAAATAAAGATCATACAAAGTTGAGTTAACTTTGATCGGCTTGCTGAATCATTGTTCAATAAATTCAAGCAGGATGTAATGAATTCGGGTTTAGCCTTGAGCATGTTGAGTCGAATAATACAAGGAATCGTCTATATTAGAAACAGATGATTAGAGATACAAAGTTACAGTGACGTGTCCTTTCAACTTACCAATGTTGCGATCTTGCTCAAGACCTATGAAACAAAGCGGGTAATATTAAAATATCATATAACGTATGCGAACGAGCGAAAGCACAAGTTAAAAAATGAAAAAAAATCATTAAATTATTAACAAAAATAATATTTTCCTCTGCTACAAAATAAAAATAGAATTATAGCATTAATTATAACTAAATCTAAAGCATCCTTGTCAGTTATATGGTACATACCCTCTCTCAACACTTTACCACCGCCAAATTTACACTCACCATCATACTTGATATAATCCTTCTCAATATCTAACCATAAATTAGTATTACCCAAGCTAACTTTATCCCCTGTTGTTGGACCAAAAATATCAGAATAGGCTCTTCTGTTAATAGTATATGGATTACATGATGATGATGAAGCAAGTTGTTGTTGTAGGTTATGGTTAAAGCCCTTTTCTAATAAAGTCTTAACAATTGATTTGGTTTTTGACAAATCAAGCTATTCCATTTCCACCACTAATATATTTCGATCCAGCAATTGATACCAATGTGACTGTTTTTGTTTCGCCTGGCTCAAAACATACAGCTGATCCGACTGGCACATCAAGTCTTTTGCTATATGATTGACTACTATCAAATTCCAATGCTGAATTTGTCTTATAAAATGATAATGGGGCCCAACCTACAAAGATTATAAAATCAGAGTTATTTTACTGGTCATGACAATAATCACGTAATTTGAATAAAAAAATTTTATCAAAGCATATATTTACTAGTTATAGATGCTAATCGAATTCTTGGTGATGGTTGCAACCATATTTGCGACATATAAAAATGGTTCGCGACACCTGGTTGCAACCACTTTTGCGACCACTTTGGTTTCCTTTTTTGGATTGCGACATGGAACACTATTACTAGTATGTAACCTTTACAGCAACTCTTTTTCTGCCTTCATTCAAAATAATTTTACAAGGTTTAACAATAATAGCACCAGGAGCAACATTTTAATCTTCCTCACGAACTTCTGTTGATTGTTGAAACAAATTTAGATTTATCAGGAAACTTCCGCACAAGGCCAATTCAAAGTCAACGACGTCATCAGAATAGATTGGGTTGTGGACGATAATTAATAAGTGCCGTCAGGAAAATTAACTTCAATTTGCACTTTGGGCAAAGTTTCCAACAACAATAATGGAAATTTAGACTTTTATCGGTAAAAGACTATTTTAGCAAGATCAATGTTTCGTTAAAATATTTTTTTCTCACCAATTAATTATTACCAATTAATTATTACCAATTAATTATTATAAATTAATGATAATATATTAATGAAGAAGTTTGTCGTTTCAAATATCATATGTCAAATACTGGTAATAATAACAATCAACATAGTCATGGTAGAGTGTGAGCGAGAGGAGATCATGGGCATACACACAAACGTTTAAAAAGTATACAGAACGAAAATTGCCAAAAATTGAACTTTCACGGTTGGAATTGGTGGGCAAGTGATATTTTTCAAATTATTAATTTATAAATTTTAGAATTAATCCGTCAATTAAATACATTAATAATCCTACAAATCTTATTAATTGTTTAGGCCAGTACGAGTCAGGAAAAACGGCATTGATGTTAGCATTACGCAAAGCATTAAGAAGCCAATGCTCAATTGCAGTAGTTACCAATGACATATTCACAAAAGAGGATAACGAATTCCTAATACCGTAATGAGGCATTACCAGCTGAACGTATCAAAGCCATCGAAACGGGCGGATGTCCACATGCCGTGATATTTCAGCTAATTTGAATGCATCATTGGAACAATTACATGTTAAATTCAACACTCAACTATTGTTGATTGAAAGTGAATGTGATAATTTAGCCGGTAATAATATTTAATATATACATGTGGGGGGATGTTTGGGTGGAGCATGTATATATTCTCTGATGTGATTGATTGATTGATTTAAATTTCTATATAGCAAATTATTCGCGTGAATTGGCAAATTATATTATTTATGGTAAGAAAAAAAATTTCTATAGTTTATTTTATTTAAATATATTGAAACGAATGATAATAAATAAACAACTAAATTACATATGTATAAACATTCTAGTTAATAAAAAAATTAAATATAAAATAGTTATTGATGTAGCAGGCGGTGATAAGATACCGCGTAAAGGAGGACCAGATATTACTCAATCAGATTTATTGATTATTAATAAAACTGACTTAGCAGAGATAGTTGGTGCTGACCTGTCAATAATGGAGAGAGACGCACGTAAAAAGAGGTAAATCGATGATAATGTTAATGTTTGATTTGATTTTTTGTTAAAATTGTTAGTAGTTAATGATTATAAATCATATTTATAGGGAAAGCGGACCAACCGTATTCACCCAAGTTAAAAATGGTGTTGGTATACTTGAAGTTGTTGAGTTAACTCTTAGTGCTTGGAAATCATCTGGCAGGGCCGATGATTAGTTAATTTTATTAACTGAACAAAGTTTTCTTGGATTTGATTACCTAAAAAAACAAACAATCAAACAATCAAACAATCAATCTATTATTTATAATTAATAAATAAATTTTGTTAATAAATAAATAATACCTGAAATATTTCATAGTCGTCAACATAGAATGAAGGAATTTGTGTAGTGTCATTATGTGAGTAATAAGATTTTGGTTCATAATTTGATCTGGAATTTTCATTGCACCGATCACTAACACTTAAATCTGGATATCCAAATGTTGGACCTCTGGATGGATCATGATAGATTGCAAAATTGGAGTTTTTCACTCTATTCAATTTACAACATTTATTGAAATTATTGTTCTCGTCAAAATTCATTGAAAATATAAAACTGTCTTCTGTTGGATGGTATCCACATCTTGATGTGTACCACCCAACTGGATTATATCCACCAATTATTTGAGCATGACCTCTGATTTTTATCAATACAACGCTACTTCCTTTGTTATCACATTTCGAATGAAAATCATCCGATGTAAATCCATCTCTTGATGCTCTAAACAATAAATTCCAATCATAATTTAGACGTTTTGAATGTGTACCATAATTAGTAATTGGATTGATTGGATTACTGTTATTAACAATATTGATAGCGGTGGTACCAGTAGTAATATTACTATTAATAAGATTTTGCATCCAAGATTCAATCATTGAAGCGTGTTTATTTGTTACTATGGTAGAGTCAATCGGTGAAATTCTTGGTGGTAGAATTATTGACTTTGGTTGATAATTTTCTGACAAAAAGTAGCCATAAATATCTTTTTTCAATGATTTTGGCAAGATACGTTTAAATGGAAAAACCTTTTTGAAGTAGTCATCTCCTGAAATATTAAAATATCTTATTAGGGTAATACATTTACTCAATATTTTTTCTAACTCGATAAAATTGTTCCTTTCCCAATTTTCAACAATTAGTTCATAATTATTATTATTATTATTACTACTAATAATAATATTACTATGACTATTATTGTTAATGCCGAATTGAGCTATACCCCATTTAATCATATAATCCCAAATTTCAATTTCCTCCATTTCCAAATCATCTCTTTCCAACAAAGCTACCAAAATATTTGATTCTAGTTTTAGATAATCTTCAGATTCAAACAAAAATTTCGGATCATTGGAAATTATTTCAAGACAATAATCTTGCAACTTTTTACAAGTTTGATGTTGAAATATTGTATGTAAAACTCTTACTATATTTTTTTGTAACCAATTGGCTTGATTTTGGATCAAATAATCTTGTACATGTTCAATTAACTCATCCAATATCAATTCATCTGCTGCAACCAGTAAATCCAAAATATCAATTATCTCTTGGCCATTAAAATCAAGTATTCCTGTATAAATGTACCTATAAAATAAATTATTAAGTTGTGAGAAAATAATTTGAGAATTGGAAATTAATTTAAGAATTGAAAAGAACAAAAATAAAAATAAAGAAAATTTTTTTTTCGCAAAAGAAATATTAATTACTTTAAAACTAGTTTAAAGACTCTTGGAGATATATTTGGTTTATTTAATACAATTAGATTGTTCCTTTCACCATCTAATTTTTGCCAATCTTTTGACAAAGCTGCACGAAAATAAGGAGATCTAGCAGACAATAATAATGAGTGTACCATGAACTCTTCCTCTAATAAATCATTGCCATCATTTCCATTGGAATTTTCAGTGCAAAGATTGCCACCACCGCCTACTTTCATTAGAACATCACAATTTTGTGTTGATTCAAGAACTTGTAATAAATCAGATGATAGTCTATCGAATAATCTTTTTGGAGTTTTCATTATTTTATTATTATTAACATTTGTTATTGTTAATTGAATGAATAAATAACGGAAAGAAATAATTAAAAGAGTGTATAAAGAAAAGAAATTAATATTTTATTAACGTGATATGCATCAATCATATGATTAACCATTTTAAAAAAGTAATTTTGTATCGCGATTTTCATTATTTTCATTACACAAATTAAACTTTAAATTAAACAAACATTAACCTACTAGCTAGATAAACAGCTTGTGTTTCCTTCTATAACATATTACGGGCTCCGTTTACTTTTTGAGGGGCCCAGATTTTGTTTGATGATGATTCCACACGTATCTCCTCCTCCTCTACGCATACTTGTGGAATTTACGGAAAAAATATTGGCGAAAATGGAAATTAGTTATATTCACCTAATTCGGACATTTTCCGAAATGCAAATCCTTTATCCATGGAATAACAATGGGTAAAGCTTCTGCCTTTCAGGGTGTGTGGCGTGGATATTTCTGATGTTGATCTCCGGGATTTTGTCCGGATAACTCACTCTATGATCGACAAACTCATGGGTAGGATAATTATAATATATCCCTCTACAGGCAAAACCTTTATACATGATGACAAATGGATAATAATAAAGGTTTTGCCTGTTCGGAAAATGTCCGAATTACCTGGTTATATTGGATTTTTCTAAAATTATCGTAAAAACAACATGCAAAATTTTCGATGAAACTCATTCACAAGATTGAGAATGCTTGAATCTTTTACGCTTATTTGTTTTATAATGAAAACATAAACAACAATACAATCTAATTATTCCCTGTTTCCCGTTCTATATATAATTTTGCCGCTAATGCTACTGCCACTTCTATTGCTGCTTTTAATGCTAATGCTATCGTCACTGCTTTTAATGTGCCACTTCCATTTGTTTAACAGTTAAACCAATTTCATAAACGTTTTATAGGAAATAATATAATAGTAATACAATATATACAATATGTATGTATCTCTATCCTATATTATATTATATAAATAAATAAACCATTGTACTGGAATAATTGATTATTATTATATACATATCTATTAAATGAAGTATTGTAAATATTTGAAATGAAGGTGTCAATTTTCTAATTGATAAAAATAAATGTTTCTTTTACAATTTCTTATAAAGTTGTAATATTAAAAAAAATATATCTCTTTGTTAGTAATAAATTGCTACATCAAATATTTGCCTATAATAAAATTTTATTGGTATTGATTGGTGATTGTTGGATGACAGAAGTTTAAACAATAATCTATACTTGGTTTTGCATCTAAAATTTATTTGGTAATTTTAGAAAAAATGCTACTATTTAATTTGTCTCCCTGGATGGCAAAAGTCAACTTTGAACTCTAATAACTTTTTTAAAATTTATGTTAATACAGAAAGTGAACCGATAAAATAAAAGAACATTTCTCATTCTTTCAGTTTATCGGTTTACTTTTTGGCTGTAACACAAATTGAAGGTCTAGATGCAGTTAGAGTGCGATTACATTCTAGGATTATTGAATTTGTATTATTGTTATTATAAATAAATTACTGATATCTGGACACGATCTCACAATACACATCATATTTGATGTGTTTAGAGTAACTGTTATAATATATGATAATAACATATGGCGTCTTTTGGTAGTGACAGTGTTAATTTTCCCTCCATCCTTGTCTTTTTTTTACAGGTGATGTTCTTCCTACTATGTGTCCAGTTTCTTCCACTTTAAAATCGTATGTTTCTTAACTCTAGCTCTCCCAGCCGAAATACTTAATTCCAATAATATATAGGTTCATGAATATAATCTCTTTAGCGAGGGATGTGTCGATAAGTTTGCAAATTATAGTTCTGTCGTCGTTACCAAAATGTGAGTGTGCGATCCGAGTTTCTTAATTAATTGCCTTTTTCCGGCTATTATAGCTATCAGCCACTAATGCTGCCCGGTCAAAGACTATTTTTTATGTAAAGGTGTTATTATTATTATCAAAATGTTAGAATATTATATTATTAAAAGATCAATTATTGGTTAACTATTCATTAATCCCCTTTTCACTGAAGAAAATTTCAAGCATATCTATCCTTCTTGAAGTATTAAAGCTAGCATGACTTTTTGTTAAAATAAAATAGAATAGAATGATTATTTTGGGAATGGTTATTAATGCTAAATGCCCTATTAAAAAAACCATGTAAAAAAGGTACTGAATACATGCGTTATAAACAGTACGAAAATACGGAATTCCAAATAATATCCATAATAATACGTATAAATTGGCACGGTTTTGGACACATTTCCATATTAGTATATATCTTAAAGTACTGAAACGGTACGGAATCTACGTTTTTTCCGTATTTCAAAGTACTGAATTCATACTAATACGGCATTGAAAATTATTAATTATAATGGTAAAACATGTTTTAGTTACTATCGCTGAAACCATACTAATACCAAAAATCATTAATTGCTTAAAATAAAAATTTTATTAACAAAAATTCTATAAAAATACAAGCAGTATGAACTTGTGAAGCAATTGACAATCAAATATGAATTTGTAGTCTTCGCCTTATATTTATCTGCCAACCCTTTAATTGAAGCTTGATGTATTGGATCATCTAAGGGTATAACGGGATAGTATGTAATAAAAAACAACGTTATTATTATGTAAAAATGTTTTAATAAATATTAAATATAAGATATAAAATTCTAAGAATCCAAAATACAGCAAATAATAATATCGTGTAAAAATTATTTAATAATACTATATGTTTTATGATAATAATGAATAAAATAAATATATTCTTTATATGTCATCTTTCAGTATTAGTATGTTACAAGTTCCGCCGTACCTACAAATCAAAAACGTACCTTTTCAGTTACAAATTCCGTACCTTATATGCGAAATCAAACAAATCCCATAACCTATTCCGTACTTTATACGCGGAATTAAAACGTACCTTTTCAGTATGTTACAAATTCTGTATGGTGCGCCGCATCTAAAGACATCAAAACAAATTGCAAATATTTAAACCCTGATAACTTTGTAAATATTTGTTGGTCCATAAAAATATCTCTATTTTTGTAATCTCTGGAACATAAGCAACAATACAATAGAGAGAACTTTTAAATTTAATTAGTAAAATAAAAAGTTATGGGGGTTTAAAATTAAGTAATTTTATTACTAATTAAAAAAATTCGACACGCCCATCAAACTAATTTGACCAATCAGAAAACTAATATAGATCAACTTTTATCACGTGATTCATATAACAATCATTCAACATTCAACGATAATATATCTGCATCCATTAACATAAATTCTGGCAATTTTCTATGAGTTTTTTGCTGCAAAGATTAAAGCTTTTCGTGAAAGTCCTAATCTATAAGCATTCATAAATCTATAACATCTTCTAGCAAACTTTTTAATGTTACAAAGTGAAACCGAGTTCAATGCCAGAGGAACAGTTCTCTCTAATTCTTTAAATAAATAATTACAATTTTTTCTAGTGTATTCTTTAGTTACTTCCCAAAAATTTTCTATATAATTTAATTCATAATGATTTCTTGATCAGCATTAAAAATTTTCGGCAATAAGCGCAGAATTTGATGTCATTAGATACGAAGCAACATATCTGAACGATTTCTTGATCAGAAAAGATCACCATTAAAATTTTCGGTAAATGGCGCAGCATTCGATGTCTTTAGATGCGGCACACCATACTGATTCCGTACTAATATCCGTACTTCACATTAAATTTGATATTTGAAAAGGGCAATTTTTCAAAACCGTATAAGAAATACGTTAATTCCGTATATATATTTTTAAGATCGTATTTAATATTAATATTAATATTAACACACTAACATGTTAATTCCGTATTTTGTTTTTCATGGGGCTACCTATAACATTTCATGAGAAGGTGAATTATAACCAGGGTTTAATGCAATAGTCAAAGCTACATCAATTTGTTGTTGAAACCATAGTAGGAATTAATCACTACTAATTTTTCTATTATTTGACGTGGAC